TGAAACTCAAGCATCACAGGTGGTCGATAAATTCCAGGGAAAGAAAACTCATGAGCACCGGTGATTGCGGGGCAGAATCGCGTAGCAGGATGAAGCGATTGTCGACATAGCGCTCGTGCCAGATCACCCCGACATCGGGCATGCGAAATCGTAGAGAGCACATTGTTTGGTGCCAGAAGAAGTCCTCAACCGTGGCAACCAGATTGCAGAGTGGGGGTGCTGCAGGTGATCCCATAGCGACTCCACGTTCTTGCCGGAACAAATAGCCATTGATCTCGAAGTGACTGTTATCAATGACAAAGTCAAGGAGGCATCGAAGATCTTGTTCACGGAAGGTTCGAGGAACCTTAGTTTGACGGCGCCATTTTCCTTTGAACATGCGGCGTCGATGATCTGACTTCAATTCGTACACCGACCATTGTGAAGATCGGCGGAGACCAACTGCTTGATCATAGCGATGTAGAAGCACCTGTAGTGCCTGATGGAAACGCTCCGTGGGGATGGATGTGAAGAAACCGGAAAGGTCCTGAGACACCAGGTGGATGTATTCGGCGGGATCTGCCTGTGACAGCGCATCCCAAAGCTGTTGGACAAGCTCCTGAACCAAAAGCTGACCTGGTATGTCTGGAAAGGTGACTTTGGTAAGTTCAAATATGAGGGCGCCGAAGACCGTGAGGAAGGGCGCTGTCCACGTGCGAAAGAAAGAAATGATCGGTCTTGCTTTCTGCCAGTCCTTGGTCGGTTTGGGAAGGATGCGGGCTGTGGGCAACGGAGCTTGGAGTCGAAGTCCCCACGCGTAACGCTGATGCAGGAGAGGAGGTATCGTAGTGACCACTTCTGAGCGAAAAGATGCTGCAGACTCACGACACAGCGAAAAGACTTCTCCCGAGCAAAAGGTCTTGTGCATCAGTATGGCAAACAACGAAGGACAAATCACATGTGCACGAGAGGGAAAATGATCCGCTGGGATTACAACCCACGAGGACAGAGAAACCACGGTACGCTGTAGTGATTCGGATGTCCAGTGAGCGTGGTCATGAAGGTTGGAGCGATGTGCATCAATCAACTGAGTCAGAACAGGACGTAGATCAGTGAGGAGACTGGATCCATGTACATGCCAACGACGAGCTAGTTTGCGAAGCTGTGTGGTAAAACGCTGATGTAGCATGTCAACATCGCCAAAATACTGATCCTTCATGGACGCGGTCATGATGTCAATGTCGATGTCTGCATTGATGCGTGAGAACTCATCTACCATTACTACATGTTCATGCGCACGATGTAGGAGGCGGTCATCAATGTCTGAACAGCGACACGGGAAAGACATGTCAGGAGTCCACCTGCGTTGCCATGTGCGGTAGTTGTAGATCCTGTCCCCCAAGGTAGCACTGCGAGTTTCCACCACACGGATCTTTGGAAGAAATAAGGAGGGAAACAAGTCACGATGCGAAGCAACCCAACGTTGCAACCATGTGCCAAGCTGAGCTTTCCAATTCGGTACATGTAGAGGTGGGAGAAGTAGTTGTGTCAAAGTGCTTGGTGACTGAAGCTGTCGTTTGTGCATAACCTGGGCGAGGAGCTTCTGTGCCTTAGAACGAAAAGGCTCGTTGACGAAGACGGAGAGTCGTAGGAAGTAGTAGAGCTGAGTAGGTGGAAAAGCCGCCGACAGCAAGTCGCGCATAGCCTGGAACGACGCACCTGTGTTGGATCCCAGCTGATAAAGAGTGGAGTAATGTGCTTGAATGTCATCCAACATTTCAGGTCGTAATTGCCGTTGAAGATCCGGACGTAGTCGTCGTCGGAAGCGTTTGTGTAGCGAGAGTGAGGTGGGAGATGACAACGAATGACGCCGAAAGTCAACCAGATGCTCACGGAAGCCAATTTTCCGAAGGAGTCTATGTACCCAGGGAGCATTCAAATGCGGACGTAGCAAGTATTGCCACTTGCTTTCCTGGACCCAAACCGAGGAAATGGGAAGTTTGATCTCAACCGGAATGGCACAGAAAAGCCAGTAAGTGTTGGATCGCTTCCAGTAATGAAGCGCAGGTTCGAAGAAGGCATGGCGTCCCCGAAGTAGTTGCAGAAATTTGCGACTGCGCGAGTGTTCTCGTCGAAGAACATCCTGATCAGCTGCTCCAACGTAGTATGGACTGTGCCATGGAGAAAGTCTGATGTAGACGCATGGCTGTTGATGGTGACCTGGATCCTGAATGAAGTCTTAGAGGTCCGGAAAACGTGTCCGTAGTGATCGAAGGTGTCTTGTATCCGCAAAAGTGGAGTGCATGCTTTCACACAACAGAGACGTCTTGTAGAAGTGAAGAACCTCGAAGAACGGCGGGACATACCCATAGTCTTGAGAAACGAGACGCTGCAAAAAACTGATCAATAAATAGGCAGTGCACCGGCACCTGTGAAGTTCATACCTGTTGGCCACAGTGTGGTAAGACTGCGACATGGAGTGAATCGGGATCTGAAGTGCGATCCGAACCACAACTAGCACTTCCAGGATAAGGCCCAGCCAAGGTAGTCGCTCAACTGACTCATATTCATCTATTGGTATCGACGGTGGTGGAAGTCCAGGAAAGCAGTATTGCCAGCACGTAGAGAACATTGTCAACGAGTGCAGAAAAATATCTAAGGAATGCCATTGTGCAACATCATCATAGATTCCACAGCGGCGAAGCTCAGCCAACATGGTGAACATGCAACCAATGAAATCTACAATGTGGCGGCGACAGGAATGCAAGCGGCAATGAGCACCAAGCAATTCACAACGCAAGCAAAGACAAGCACATCATCAAACAAGTGCAGAGCAAGAAGAGGACGGACAAGTTTTGAACCGTTCATCAATCATGACACAACTGCCACTCCGGGCTCATAAGTGAACGAAGGTAACTGCCCACCCTGTGAGTAAGCGTGGTCACGATGAGGTGACACAACGCCTTGTCAGTGAGCTTGGTGAGGTAGCCCGGCTCCAGTCCCCACAGAGCCGCCATTGCCCCAAACGTAGGTGCGTCTGCTTTTGGGATGCGTTGACGCGCCTGAAAGAGCTGGGCCGACATGGATTCCAAGGACTTGTTGCCGTTGAGACGGGATGGGTGATTGGCCCACTTGATCAATGACGCCAAAGTAGTGGTAGTGGGCGATTGCTTGAGATACAAGCGTGGTTGATCACTAGTCCATGCGTAGTACTTGATGACGGCTTCTGGCGTGCTGTGCATGGTGAGCAATTGTGACGCCGCCGGCTTGGAAGGCGGTGAAGAAAGTCCGTGAAGAGACTGGATGATTCGGGGTTGCACTGCGCCATCAAACGACTTGCCATCAAGGGCCGCTGCACTGACCGTAGGTAGGGAGCTGGTCGGTGACGAAGATTGTGTGTGATTGGCCGGTGGTGGTGTAACCAACTCTGCATCATCCTTTTAGGGGAAGTCGAAGCGCGTAGCGATGCCCAATACTGAGCCTGGAGCAACTCGTGAGCTCGATGTAGATCATTGAACTTCTTGACCATGTCCTCCGCTTGGGTAGAGGGCGTGAGAGTCGCGTGGTGCTGCTGAAGAAACTGAAGCACCAAGTTGGCCAAATGGTCATGAACCTTGATACGCTGGTTGAAGTCGTCAAGGTTGAGCCCCAGTGAGCTGGCAAGGTCCTTTTCCAAAGTAAGCAGGTTGCTCGGCGCGAGTGCGAAAGCCTTCCCACGTCACGAATCTGCCGTGAGCAAATGGTCGGAGTAGCCAGTTGGTGATGCCCCCCGTGAATGACCTGAACCAGGCGAACGTCTCGGATGTCCATGCCGGACATGTCACGTAGGTTGTTGTGCGGGGTGTTGGCAACCGTCATGGGCAGGCTGAAGGAGTAGAGCTGGTTGATGTCTAGCATGCCGTCTCCAGGTGTCCAGTCACCCGGTGGAGTAAGCCATGGTTTCTGAGGTCGGACTGGTAGCGCAGCTAGGTGCCCAGGCGATGGTGAAGCTTGGGAAGAAGTAACCGGCGGTGGCATCACGGGCGTCAGGAACTTCGCTGGCGTGGGCTCTGGAGGACGGCATCATGTAGTTGACCGGTGAATGATGAAATTGCTGCGTAGGGTTTGGATTCGATTGATAATTGCCTGGCATCACTGGAAAATTGTTGTTGGAGTTGTAGCCCGAATTGTGTTGCCAGGATACCAAGTTGTTCCAATCCATGCCCTCCGAGACCTGATTGTCATTGTGTTCACGTCGGCGTGCTTTGCGAGATTGAGGGGACGGACTCCGATCCCGTCTGCGCCGAGTTCTGGATCTGTCACGATCATCCCGTCGAGACATGGTGGCACAACAAACTCAAAACCGCGACACCTCAATCTTGAGAGAATCGAATCCGACAAGACGCAAGTCAACGCAAGTTCAAGCCAAGCACAGATCAACACGCGGTCATGCAGCCAACAGCAGCAATTGTGAGACTTAGCTATGATCTGACGGCTGTCTTCCCTTTAGTGAAACCTCGTTCCTGATTAAATCTGAAATTCCGCTGTTCTATGATAAGCACGTTGAGGTCAAATTTTCCGACAGAGTCGGCCCGGGGTCACACGATGGGTACACCCGAGGATTCCCCACGAATGGGGTGTACACACTTAAACTCCAGATGGAGGGCGCTAATCTTTCGAGTGCAACTGGTAAGTCTCGGCTTGGATAAGGTTCTTCATGAATAAGTTTCGGCTCGCAATGCACCCGGCTTCCCTCTAGTGTCGAAAACGTTACCCGAAAGAACAAGAAGCACAAACAGCGCCGCAACCAAGGGGGCCAAAAAGACATTCAGCAACATCACTTTACACATGCAGGTACGCTGGGATGATCAGTCCCAGTATCACCACCGATGGCAAGTGTCTTCGTTGGCAGGAGACTTGCCATGGTGCTCCTGCCCCCTGCTTTTAATTGTGGTGACAGGGTATTCTGCCACTCCGCACACACACACACACACGACACACCCAGACTCGTCTTTGACGGCGCGCAACATGGGCGTCCAGACTCATCAGCTGCTGGCAGCTGCAGCCGGCACTCAAGCCCAGGGCCTGCCATGGCCACCGCTGCAAAAATGGAATCCCAATCCGAGGCCAAAGCTCAGATGGCCAGAGCAAGAGCAATGGAAGCCTACCTTAAACCGAGCCCCAGCAGATTTGGGATATGGGCATGGGTCAAAATTAAGCCACCAGGAAGTGGACCGCAGGAATTTTAGTCTTTGGTTCCATTTACCAGGGCAAGCCATTTTGGGGATCCCTATTTTTGACCCACAGCCACATGGCCATGGTTCAAAAGCCCATGCAAATCCCCCAGTGGTTACGGGACCCAGTCAAATGGGAAGCCTAAAATGGGTGGTGAATTCACCTTTTCTAAAAAATGGGACCCCAAAACGGTTCTGACCCACAGCCACATGCTCAACTGCTACAGGTGCAGAAGGCAACTGCCACGGACGGCAACAAACTGCTTCACCCTGCTCACAAACCCGGCATCGCACCTCACGGGCCTGGGAGAGCGACATGGCCCGCTCACCCGCAAGTTGCCAACGGCCAGCTGGCTGCGCTCCAACCTTTTTGTTTCATGGTGGCTGTCTATTCCCATGTCTCAAATACAGCGCATCATGCCGCTCAAATCGCTCGAGCGCGCGAGTTGCCAATGCTCTGTCGATCAACAAGCTCGATGAGCTATGTTGTAAGGCCCTTCCTCTGGCCACGAGCAGAACGCATTTGACATCCGCGCGGCTTGGCCCACGACGAAAACGAGCAGGAACGTTGTGAGCGCGCGATTTGCCGAAACACTTGCAGGTCTGTCGCACACTCACATTTTCTGGCTCGGATCTGGAGCGGATTGGAAATGGCTCGACCAGTACAAAAATGTGCACGAGGCTCGTGTCTGGTCTGCCGAGGTTTTACCTCTTGGTTGCAGCAAATTATGGGGTCGTTGTGAGTTGCGAGCAGCTGGAATCATAAGGTCGAACGAAAGCAGGCATTTCAGCTTGAGAGAGCATGTGAGGCTCTATTCCAATTTCTGGGCAACGATCCCAATTGGCTTCACAACACCTGCACCCAAAGTGGCATGCAAAAACGTCTACACAAAGGCATGCCAGGCCAAATCTGCAGTGTTGCTTGATTGTCATGGCTTTTGCCAATCGCGCGCTGCCAACTCAGGCGAAATTTGCCTTCAGTAGTCTGCTTCGGGCCTGTGAGGCTTCGAGCAACACGAGAACCAAGAGCTCTTGGAGTGCCTCAGAAGCTCATCCTGAAGCTTCAGGTGCCGCCCGGTCGCCACGAAATCCTGCATGTACTCCTCAGGGATCCTTACAATAGATCCACCTGAACCATTGCAACTTGTAAATGGCGTTGTTTCCAACTTTATTTTGGTGTTGATTAAGCAACATATTTCAAATGGCTGCAAAAGGTGGTTTCCAACTTTATTTTGGTGTTGAAAAAGTCACATGATTCAAATGGTGGCAAAATGGAGATTTTAAGGAGCCCTGCCCAAATAAGGCCTTAAGGCTCAAGCCCAGAATAGGGCCTTATTTGGGCTCCCTCCCCTGCCCCCCAGACTTCAAAAACCCAACTTCCCTGTTTAAGCCCCCTGGAAGAAATGAAACTACGTCCAGTTGTGAGCGATCAATTCCCAACATATTCTTTCCAGCAAATGGAAGCTTCTCTGAGTCGAAAAATAAATCCAGCTGAGCCCTGCTCCCTGCCCAAACAAGGCCTTAAGCCCAGAATAGGGCCTTCTTTGGGCTCCCTCCCCCTCCCCCAGGTCCCCAGACTCCAAAACTTCCCGCCTTGATGATGGACACCAACTTCCCTGCGGAGTCCTCCTTGCTGATGGCCTCCGCCACCTCCCTGGCCCGGGCCTTGATGCTGGCCGACCCCAGGCACTTGGTGATGGCGGCGGCCAGATCCGCCGGCTTCACCTACCAGTGGTTGCGGGACCGGAATTTTAGGAATGTTTGGTTCCATTTGCCAGGGCAAGCCACCGCCAGTTTTTGAGGTTGCCCTGTTCTTGACCCACAGCCACATGGCCATGGGTCGAAAGCCCATGGAAAGCCGAAAGCCCCCAGTGAAAAACAATGGGATCCCCTTGGTTTTCACCCAGAGCCGCCTTCCGCATGTTCTGCATCCCAACGCCGATGCCCCGCGCATTCACCGCGGCGGAGTTGTCGAACTGGTCGAACCAAATCGGGCAGATGATGGTTGGAGTACCACTCCTGACCGAGGCGTTGCTGGTGCCTGACCCACCGTGATGCACAATCACCGAGCACCGCGGGAAGAGGGTCCCGTGCGGCGCCGTCTTCATGAACAGCACCTGACAGGTGCTCGGGGGAAAAACAAAAATGGGCTCCGGCATCGGCTTCCTTGGCCACCCGAGTTTTTTTGGTTTTTAGTTGTCTTTTCTTTTTTCCTTTTTCTTTTCGAAATCCCGACAAAATACGGCTTTCCTCTTGGAAACAGGGCTGCCAAAAGGGGGGCTTCCCAGGGCAAACCTCTCTCCCCTGGCCTTCTCCTTGGCGTAGGCGATGAGCTCCGCGGAGTCCGGCTCGCCCTCGAGCAGCTCCGCGGACATGTCGGACCAAGAGGAGGCCACGACGCCCCGCTGGCCCGACATCATCAAGCCCCGGAGACACAGCAGCGTCATGAACTTGGAGCCTCCATGCGAGAGACGCGAGAGATGCGAGAGATGCGCTCAGCGCGGCCTTTTTTTTTTGCGGTGCGGTTTTTGCGAGGGTTTCGCGCGCGGTGCGGTTTCGAGCGGTTATTTGTTTAGTTTTCTGTTTTTTCTTGTTTTTTCTCTCTCTTTTTTTGCGAGGGAGCGTGGTCGGATGGCTTGGTGGTGTTTGAAGGTATTCGTGTGGCGGTCTTCCTTCTTTTTGACTCGGGTTCTGGGGTCTTTCTGGTTTTCAAATGAAAACCAACAGGAAAACCATCCCATGTTTCTAAGGGGGGTCCCCTGAAAAAGCCCATATATGCACCGTTCATTGTAGTTCCTTGGTCCCTCGTCCATCTTTGTCGGGAAGATTGCGGGAAAAGCAACACCTGCAAGCGCGGCGTCCATTCAGGGGGCAGTTGCCAAAAGTCTGGCGCTGAAGGGGAAAAAATGAGGGAACTCGAGAAAGAAAAGGAAACAAACAAGCAAAAAGAAGAAAAAAGGGTGGGAAAAAAAGGAAAGAAAAACGCCGAGACGCTCTTGCAGATGATGGAGCCGAAGCCGCAGTAAACTGGAGAAGGCCCTGCTTCCAGGAACCGATCCAGCTCCGAAGACTGGGCCACGCCGAATTCTGTGCCCTCCTGCTCCTCGCGCCAAAAAAATCCCGGAATGAGCTCTGCAAAACGAGCTCGTCCCAACAGAAAACTCCCCGAAAGTGGGGATTCCAACATACGTGGCAACCGAAGTAACTAAAGGCTCCCACACCTGGGTGTGGACCCTTGCTGCCCGAAGACAGGTACCTGGCCCCAAAAAGACACAAGTCGTGGATCCAAGATGTGCCGAGCATCTTTCGGCGGCATCATCAAAGCCCCGATCTGCACGATGTTCGAGCTGAAGTCCGCTGGAAGGTCGCCCATCAGCGCGTTGCTTTCGGCCACCAGACTCAGGAAGGCTGGGGCGTTCATCATGTAGTCACCTCGGCGAGTCAATCCACCTACCCAGCAAATTCTAAGGGCAAAGAGGTCTCAAATGGCAAATAAAAGGCAGAGATGTAAATGTCGACCCAGCCACAATACTCTCTATAGGTCGGGTAGTAGGGTTTGCTGGAAAACCCCAAGATCCGGTCCAGGATGGGAATGTCCAGCTGTCGGCACGCACGCACGCTAAGGCGCAGGAGCAGCTTCCAGCATGCAATTTTCCTTGCATCGCTGAGACATAAATGTGAAACTTTTGAAGGGGTACTGTGGATGGTTGCGAAATCCAATTCGCACCACCTAAGAAACCCTGGAATGAGTCGGTTCCCCCAAAAGAACTAACAAACTTTGTGGTTTCAACCATGGTTTCGAAGTGGTGCAGGATTTCCTCCATCCAGAGTACACAGGAACCGGTCCCAGTAGAAAAATGGTCCAAACCAGGATGGGAGGGTAATGGCTGACAATTGCCTGCCAAGTTTCATGCCCCCCGGCATGGAATCGGACACGCCCACAGGCGTGACGTAGCGGCTTGGTCTCCAGCGGTGGAGGCAGAACACGATGACCTCATCTTCTCACACCACTTGTCACCACGGGCAAGCGGCGAGGAGAGTATTTTTGTGGGTGTCCTTGTTTTTGGGGCTGACTGGAAACCAACGGGAGAACACCAATTCTCAAGGCATTTTCAGTTGAGCCATACTCAAAACCCAGTATTAAAATGGTCGACCCAGAACCATGTTCAAAGTTATGAAGGCGGCCCAGCTGTTTATGGTTGGGATTGTCCCGTGCCAACCTTCACTTACCCAAGTTTTGATTGTGACTCAGTTGGAGAGCCCGCTTGGTGCCGTCCAGGCGCTGGAATGCGCCTGATCTTGCACAGAGCCAAAGTGTCCGGTACGCACAAGGGACCGCACAAGACCTGTCAGCCACGCAAAACTCCCAGAAGCTCTATGCCAGTGCAACATGGGTGACTGGTATTGGGGAACTCCCTTTTGCTTGGTCTTGAATGGAAACTGAAAGGAAACCAACCATTTTTCTAGGTGTACCCACCCCATTCTTTCCAGGCATCCTTCTTCTTTAGAAAACCTCCGGAAACCCGGGGAACACGGCAGGTAATTGAAAAGAATGATGGTGAAAAGAATGGTTGGAATCAACCCCTAGAACTTTGGGGGTAGGCAATACACGCACGTGATCCAATTGCACAATACAAAAAATGGAGTGCCACCCAAGGCTGGCGGCCAGGTCTGGCTTGAAAGACGTGAGCAGCTCGTACATTGCCTTGAGTTCCTCTTCCTTGTGCTCCGCCACTCTCTTTTCCTTGATGGTTGCGACTGTCATCATGTCGTCTTTTTCCTCAGACGCCCAGCGGCCATGGCGGGAAAAAAAGGCGCCCGTTTTGTGGCTGGTTGAGTTGAAAGGAATAACAGAGCCCTTGCCCAAAAAAAAAGCCGGGAGAAAGGAAAAAAGGGAGAGAGGAGAAAAAAAATGCAAAACAAACCTCAGTGTGTTTCTTGTTGGTTGAGTTGAAAGGAATCGGAGCCCTTGCCCGACAAAGGAGGCAAAACCCACTGGACAGCAGAGCTTCCATGGCCTCCGCAACACCGGGCTGATGCATTATCCGCTGGAAGCTGAGGCGGGTGCGCTGGAACTTCACCTGGCTGTGGATGTCAAAAATAGGAATCCCCAAAATGGCTTGCCCTTGTAAATAGAAACAAGGACCTGGGACCAGGGACTACCTACCAAAAATGGAACCACAATGGAAACCACCCACAATGGAAACCTGTCCAATTCCTGGTGGTGAAAACTTTTGACGTAGCCATACCCACCTCGCAATGCTCCGCCAAGGCCTTGGCGTCACCAGGGCCTGCGAGCATCACCTCGAAGCCCCCCT